ACGAAAGCTTAAAACTAATTCATATAAAGTCTTCTTCTGAATTTGTAATTAAAGTATAACTCGACATATTCGAATGCGCAATAGGTGTTATAGTATATCATCTCTGCAGTTCTCATGGGATTTATAAAAACTTAATAAACAAATGATTGCAAATCGGATTTAAGATCACAAACACAGAAGCAAAATGCAAAATTACAACTTTTTAAAAATAATTATCAAGGAAAAAGAAATATCGCAGAGGCTAAAAAGTCAAAAATGTTGTATTTTAAATCAGCCATTTTCTTTTTCATAGGTTAGGTTATGTTAATATTCATAGAATAATAATAATAATAGTGATAAAAAGCAATACAGCGAGTAACTTGCTGTAATTAAGAGTCATATCTTTTTTTCTGTAATTTTTGTTTCGCTGCTTCAAAACCATAACTGGAAAGATAAGCAAAAATATCGTTCAATGTTAAAACTTAACATAATCATATACAATTTTTGTCTTTTCTCCCAACAAACATTCTACATCAAACGTGAATAGCAGATACTTTGTTGACTTTCTATGCCAAACGCCTAGCAGTATGCAACAGAAATTAATTTTATCAGAGCCATCTGCTCTCTCTCTCCACTCGCTCTCATCCTCGGTAACGGACAACAAACCAAATTAAATAATCGAGAATTTAATATTTAATGAAAAACACTTTTCCCTGCCCCCTGTCACTGCAAACCCCCCTTGACCCTTTACCCCCCGACCACCCCCTGATCGCAGCGGGTGGTGCCTAGAAACGGAAATGCTGAAACAGTGAAATGTTTCACGCCTTCTTTAACAGAATTTATTAAAAACGTGTAACAAAAGCATGTACTATACTTAACTGGAACATGGTAACCAAAGCACATCCAACAAAGAAAAGAAGTGAAAAACGAATATGGGCGTTATGTGGAATAATAACGGATACGGCGAGGAGTCAAATCAAAGCCCTGTAAGTCAGCGGGGGGTCAGTGCGGGGCTCGCACATCTGTGATACTTTCCTGCACCGAAAACCAAACAACACGGCGACGACAGCAGCGAAAATGCCGTAATAATTGTTGCAAAAAGCAATTAGACAAACTAATAAAGGCAAATCCCCTAGCAAAGGGTCGCAGTGCGAGGGAACGAGACAGCGCCGCCTCTTGGGTGCGGATGGTGGCGGAAGTGTGAGCGGGACGCATGGTGCAACTCTTACCGCGCATAGGCTCAAACTGAATGCCAAACCCCCAATGGCGATGCAAGAGCGAGATGGCCATAGTGTGGTGAGCTGCGATGGTGATGCATTCCAGTTTTGTTGTTGTTGCTGGGCATGCGTTTAATAGCACACGGTAATTGCAGAATGTTGCGGGTATATTCGTTCCCTAATCGTTCCCTAATCTATTTATTATAGAATTCACCATTTGTAACCAGGAATAAATTATTGCTTAAGGATATTAAGGAACAATTTGAATGACTTAATTTTAATAACCTCAATAAATTCTTTAAAGCGTCTTTTTTCATCACAACATTTTGGTATATGCACGTAATCTAGGATAAAACATTGACATTTTACTTTACACACAATTTCTGGAATCAAAATGCGTGGATGATGTGACAGCAACATTACAGGGTATCCCGAAGTTCTGGGACTCGTGGCTAGAATTTGTCCTCCTTTTTCACCTTGAACGTTCTGAATGGTCGAACCTTGGGAAATGGTGAGTAGGGAGGAACAGCGCAGGAGTCAATAGAGTGCAAATCCGATTTAAGATTCGCCCCTCGGCCAAAGAATATTCCTTCTCTGTGATGATATGAGCACATACTATATATACATATACATATACTCGTATATATACATAAACGAACAGTCCCCTTCAGAATGTTGCTCATTGCCCCCTGCCCCTGGCCATGTGCCAAAGTTCAACGTAATTGCGTTTAAAAGTGCGTGTACTTGAGAATTTTTGTACATTTTCCTTCCATTCAGAGAGTGTTACGCCTTTGTTGTCGGCTTTTCGCCGTTACAAATATGTTTTGAAAGCAAAGTCATGCTGGATCACAATAGCCGGGGGAACTGCGTACTTACGAGTATGTGCCCGACCTTTCTAATGCCCAGAAATTAGTTTTCTGAAGTGGCTTTTATTATGGATTCGTATGGATAGGCCAAATTGATATGCCTCAGTTGGTAATGAAGTGAGTGGAAAGATATTTCGAAAGAGTTTAGTTTGTGGGGGGCCTGAAATGAAAGAGGGAGAAGAAACAAGAAACTGAAAGTAAATCAAAATGGTTTCAGATGTATAGTCCAGTATATAAATGTATATAAAAAGTTTATATATATGGGAGCTATAGAATGGTCATGTTATGTTATGTTATGTTAGTTGGACAAGCTACTTTCTATATAATAACTTAACCTTGTCATAACTATCTGCAATTAACGCTTAATTGATTAAAATTTTAGTTGTGCTTAAAATACCATTTCCTATACAGTTGTTCATTTTACCAGTCCTAATAAATGTTTTAAGTTGTCCTAAGATAAAACCTAATCTATGTTACGCTAAGCAATTAATAGAAATTGAATAAAATTGATTAAATTAATTATTAAAAAGCTAAATTCGAAGCCAAATAGTATGGCTTGATACACTCGTAAAATATAGTGCGAATCAACAAGATATCTTACCTTACACAACTATAATATTGGCATACCTCTACCATCCGCAATTGTTTCGCAATTAGAGCCGCTTCATTCAATCCGCCTCTCTGTGAACAACCCATTTCACAACCACCTCCGCTTCCCAATTACCAGCAATAATAATTTTAATTAAATGCACCAAGACAGTTGGCCAAAACAAAGGCAGACAGCTAACAAAGAAAGAGCCATGGAAATGAATCCCGGAACGAGTTGTAAACAAATTACGCCGCAGAAATGAGCTCCAGCGGTGACAAATTACAAGGAAACAGCCGCACGAAGATGAGAAATGACGACAGGCGGAGGAGGACAAAGGTAAACACAGGACAGTGACGGGGACGGGCGAACAGTGTGCGAGCGGGAAGGCAAGGCTGGACCAGTGGTGGCAATTTAGCTAGATTCCATCCTAATATCAATATGAATTTAATATAAAGTGAGATCAAATGAGTCAGTTCATACGACATAATCGGCATCATCGAATAAAGAATTTGGAAGGTTTAGTCGGTACGGCGTGGGTTAGATTTCGACTGCCCTTATATGCTTTGAAGAAAATATGGCAATATTGGAAAAGTCATAGGTAGTTTAATTTTCCAAATATATGTAACTAAAATATTAAAATGTAGATGTCATTTCGAAAACAGAACTACTAATTTGAGATTTTTCCTAAAATTGTGTGTCTTCAAATACATAAGTATATTTCATCTCAAGCTAAGGATTCCCGATTATTCTTGTATTTTATTAATTATTTAAATTTAAAAATTTAAATTTAAAAAATATAAATCATTTATGAAGGGGTCGTAATGAACATGCTGAATTCTTCTGTGGTCAAACACAAAGTGTCTTTTATTCATTTATCTTTTTCTATCTTAACCTGATTTGCATTGGTGGCATTTGCTGATGTACGAACAGGATGCACATATTGTACGTTAGTATAATCTTTATGCAAAAGAAAGGGAGGAGAACACATTGTGTGCCTACAACTAAGTGTTTATGGATAAGTTAGAGAAACTGTATGTTACCACTGCTGCCAATTTGGCTTTTTTCCCGTCAGAACTGGCTTTTTTGAAGGCAAGCCACGGGAAAAATTCATAAATTGCGGGAGGCGGAAATCCGGCTTTTTTGAAATTCATTTGGATTTTTTTGTGGGCCCATCTGCAATGAAATAGGCGAAAAGGAATTGGTGTTCCGTAAGATTTTTATTCTGTGTACCTTTTTTTTTATTTTGGTCATTACCGATTCGCCTACCTTATGTTTTGTGTGGACTTTTAAAATCATTTTTTTTTAGTTTTTTCTTCTCCACACTTCCCGACAAAACAGCTTTTTTTGCTGGTCTAAAATTGGCAGCACTGTATGTTACACATGTTGGTGTGATCGCTTGCAATATTTATTGATAGATCTAAAAATAGATTTGAAATCATCATCATCATACATCATCACAACAAAATTTATTGTGAATTTTCCTCAAATGATGTACGACAAATTTAATGTTTCACTTTAAGCAAATGAAATTACTCGCTGAAAGAACTTTATAATCAAAAAGACAAACTCAGGAATTTCTACTACCATTAGATCATGCTGTGTCCACGTGGTTATTGTGTCCCCAGAATGATGTACATCTAAGTAAGCCAGATTGCATTGCAAATTCGGCAAACTTTGATTGCATAACTGGGCATTGTAAATCATGAATGGAGAAAAGTGACTGCGAAAGCAGCTGTCTTCCGATTTCCGTTGAAGGCCTCTTTGCACCTTTTGGCACGCGTTGTTCTGGCCACTTTGGGGCTCCGTCCAACTGTTCCACTTCCGCAGCCTCCGAGACTACGGCCAATGCTATTCGTACTTGACCTATTGGTCGCCCCCGCTGACTTGGCCCGCATGCCGCGCTTTTCACGTTTCCAGTTCCTGCACTTTGGGTTGCCGGGTTTTACGCTCGGATTTACATCTGTTTGTATTTTCCTCCCAATTTGCGACCCTTGTCGATGGGCGGTTTGTTGTCTCTTTCATTTGTGATCGCGTTCGGCTATTATGTCCATTAGCAGCATTTCTGTCGGGTTTTTGTTCGGCTTTTCCAAGGCTCAGCCTGCTTGTGCTAACTCAATTAGCAGTTGGCAATCCTACAAATATCTTCCACCACAAAACTAATCCTTTGTTTAGGATATTTCAGTGTTGGTTTTATAATAACTTATATATATTTCATTTTAGTGGTAATATTTACCATTCTTAGGAATGTTTTTTGATTTAATATTATTTTATATTAACAAGAAGTGAAATGTAACAAAAATAAACATAAACATGAAGTCATTCTATTCATGATATTCCCATCAAGTTCAAACGGTTCAAGCCTGATGTGCTTGTCATGTAGGCAAAGTTATATTTTATAAGCAATAAAGCACCAAAACCAACACAACATGGTTAAGACCTACTGGAATCCGAGAAGGCCAATCCGGCCAGTGAGTGAGATGGCCGAGAAGAATATCTTTCACAGGTCCTTTACCCCGACCTACGAGCAGGAGGAGCCCCAAATGGGACTGATTTTGTCCTGGCACTACGGACGCCAGTGGCTGGAGGAGCGGGACTGCCACGAGAAAAAGACCAAGAAGATGATCAAGACGGAAGCCAATTTCATTCCACCGGACTACACCAGATGGCTCGAGAGACGGAAGCGGAGTAAGACGAGGCAACAGCTTCTTCAATCTTAAATTTAATTCACCTCCTATTGGGGTTTCCATATTTTCATTTTTACAAGAAAGTCTCGAAATGTGTAAAAAAAAATTCTGAAGATAAGCCTTTTTTTTAAATTATTAATTAAATGCAAGGAACAAGATATCTTATTGTGTTAATGTGCTTAAATTTTAGTTAGCTAACCGGATAGTGCTAGTATATATATATTAAGACATAGCTTTAGTCTTAAGTCTACTCACTACTCTATTTGTTAAGACCCAAACATGAAAAAGGAGTAAAATAAACCAACATAGCGAAGAATGCCTTTAAAATGGAAAATAGTAATAGATATGGAAAGGAAACCGAACTAGAATTGTATCATTTCGTTTTCCCTGCAGAGCTTGTATAAACTAAAACACTTTAAAAATATTTAAGAGGCTGCCTTCTCAAAAAGTACATATTTAGCTCATAAATGTACTTTATTCTTGTTTTAATTAAATTTTAAATATTAGAAGAATCTTAAATAATTTGATATCACTTGAATCAGGAAACACAGGGCAAATGGTCAGATTATTTCAAAGCAAAGAAGTTTGGAAATTGACCCAAACATTTCTTTGACAGAGGGAACCAATCGCGAAGTGCTAAATTCTGGTTTCGTTGACTTGGAACCATCATCTACCACAAGTTTCTCCTAAATAAGATTGTTTATTATAGGTCAGTGAAGAATTCCAAATTCTAGATGAGGCTCTAAGTAAGCCTGGACATATCTAGCACTGAACTCCATACACAGACAATCTCAATCTATAAACAGACACCACAGACCCGACAAGCCAAGAAGACAGTTAACAGTTCCACACAAAAATGCTTTCGAAAACAAAAACCTGGAGCCGTACGCTGCTGGTTCCGGCCAGAAACCATGGGTCGGCGATTCTACCGCCAGCAGAGCGGCCGGAACCCATTCCGGAGCTGTGCGAGGAGAAGCCAGTGATGGGATGGCTGCTCGGCTGGGAGTACGGGAGGAAGTGGCTGGAGAGGCGTGAAGAAATCCAGAAGCACCGGAACATGATCAGCAAGTTCGGGAGGATTCCACCGGACTTCGGCTGGTGGCTCAACCAGCGTAGACCGCTCTTAGTGCGCCAGCAGCGGTACCGGACCAAGGCCGGACCTCGTCCCCGGAAGCAGGTTACCGCCTTCTTGGTGGCCCAAAAGAGGCGCGAGGCCCAGAACAAAAAGCTCCTGGAGAGTCGGCTTAGAAATCAGTAGAAGGGTTCAAGTATCCATTTCGTTGATGATGTTTTTGCTGATAAAGGACCGAACTTGGAACAGACTGGTAAACCGAACTCGACATAAATAATGACATATCTAACTAATCGTTATCTTTATCGATATACCTAAAAAAATGATCGATATACCCCAAGGTAATGTGTCAATAAAACCGGTTAGCCTGCTTTCACTTCTGTTTATTTTTAAAGAGAGTCTGCACTTGGCCCGAGTGGTTTACGACTTTGGGTTTTCCAGCTATCGGAACTAGAAACTAAACTCAAAACTTAAAAATTAAAAATGTAAACCACATAAGGAATACCTTATACACTTTAATATGGTAAAGTAACTTCAATTTTGTTAGGCCTCTTAAGTTTGAAAGATTAAAGTTATTTTCTAATTGATTGCCAACTTAAAGTTGCTTGATTCGATTACCAACCTTTTCCAACGATTTCCCAACCCATATAAAGATCTAAGCTCTAAAAATCCAATGAGAAAGCACTCAACTGCGATGGAAACCGCATTCGTTTCCGAAATCTGTCATTCATCGTCTGATTTTCGGCCATGTCAGTAGGCTTTTGTAGTTGGTTGTTGTCCCACTGTTTGCAGGACGAGGTCGTGCCGTAGGCCCGGCAAAACAAAAGCGCAGCATCCCAGGAACCTTCGCCCCAGTGATTTGTTTTTGCTCCGCTTTGCCCCGTGGAAATGTCAGCCCTGAGGAACAATAGGTCATGCTATATGTGAACTATGTACTCACGTATATGCCACAGCTATCATCATCATCATCGTCAGCGTTGATGTTTTTCTTAATCGTCATTGGAGGACAAATAAGTGAACAATTGGCCGGGGCCGGCTCAAGGCCCGTGGATATATGGTACATATTCTTTATTTGCATTTCCGCCTCATTAACTTGCACACACAAATTCAGATCAGCTATATCCGCTTCATGTGCCCTTGCGCTGGCTTTTTACTCTCTATTATTTATTTCCCTTTTTGGCGCGAAAACATTGCGAAAAATCATGTTTTAGGGGCGTGCGCTTTTGCCCACCGCGAACTGCGCAGTTAGTTCGTCTTTTCTTAAACCTCTTTTCGAGGGTTAGTTTTACCTTCAACTTTAGTTTGTGCCTTTCAATGCGTTTTTCATTGTAAGCTCATTCTATTAAAGAGAAAAGATTGAGTTACGGGAGTTAGTATTTGAATGTTTTGCTTACTAATTATTAAAAGAAATATTAAGTGCACTCCCTAGGATTAGAAAATAGATTAGTTTTGCTTTAATATTGCATATCATTTGTGTTAGTTTTCTGTTTTTCTGCCCCATTACTTAAAAGTAAATTTACCCTTTTGTCAGTAAATTTACCCTTTTTGGGACCTTTTTAATAACTGGTGGCTCCTTAGCCTGTTATTGCTAGAATATCGCTGGGAATAACGAGTCATTATGTTCCTTAAGCAAAAACGTTCTTTGCTGATTATACTCCATTAATTCTGCGCTCATTGCTGCCCCCTTTTCCGCCTCGTGTGATTTCAACAACATTCTAGGTTGTATAATTTCCAACGCCATTTATGCCACGAAGAGCATTTTCCAGCCACAGAAACGGAAGAAAATGCTTCATACTGTGCTGCAGTTTTCTGCGCATAAATTAATGGAAACGAGTAATGGTCATGATGATGGTTCCATACGCGGAGTGGGATGAAGGCGGCAGCGGAAAAAAGGGCTGGGAAATGCATGGGGCAACATTGGGTAAGTGGCATGCGAAGGGGAATGGAAAATCTAATAAAAAACCTCTGCCAAATGGGGAATAGAAAAGTTGGTTGGTTGGCTAATCAAGGGAATTGTGTGTTTTAATCACGAAAAGTTTAGATTAGGTTTACAGGTAGGCAATGGCCTTCGTTCAATAAAATGCTATTCGTTAAATAAATTATGAAGTATAGAATTTCTTGATCAGCATCAATGGCACAGTCGATTTTCGCAAGTCCATCTTCCGCACGTCAGGCCGTCCGTCCGCCTATCAATCCTTCCTACTTTTTGCTTAGGCACTGATGTTTTGGAAACTGCCTATAAGACGTAGAAAGCATAAAGAAAACATAAATAAGTTTATTTAAAAAGTTTGCCATTAACGCTCGTAAAACCGAAATATATTTTTCCATTTGTCATTACCTATTGGCCTTAAAGTGATTGCTGTAATGGACCATTATTTCGAAGGTGTGAGGAAACGAATATTAAATGGTCTAGCTGTGCAGTGCCAAATATAGTTAACGTAATTTAAAAATTATATTATTAATATTACAGGTTAATTCTATCCTATTGACATGAAGCGTAGGGCCTTAGTTAAATTTCTGTTCTGTAATACTTAACAGCGAAAATGTTACACATTTTTCCAAAGAAAAGAAATCACAGCCGACCATCTCTATGCAAGCGTTGATCAGATTAATCAGCTATTACCCACGCTAAATGCTCATTACAGTGTCAAAACCACAGATACCATAGTTAAGACCAAAACTGTTCTAATCATATTGAGAGATTGAGATTTTCTTGAGATTTTAACTTACTGAAATGATTATTTTCAAATCTCGATTGACAACTATAATTAGACAAACTGAAAAACAATAGAGACCAACTCTAAGTTGCCAAGGGGATAAGCAACGGAGACAGAAATAGAAATCGGAAATGGAAATGGAATTGGCATTGCGGTCGAATGGCCAATGGGAAACCGCAAAAACTAATTACAGCGCCAAAACAGCCACGGATAAAAACAAAATGGCCGTCGCCAGGAGCGGAAATGAGCTTTGTTTGTGTGCGTATGGGTGTGTGTGTGTGTGTGTGTGACCGCAGAACAGATGCTGATTACGGAGATAATTAATATGGCTAATTAAACTGGGGAATGCAATGCAGAAATTGCATTGCCGGGCAAAGTAGTCCGAAGGGGGGAAGGGAACGAGGGAATGGGCTCGAAAAACAAGCGAAACTTCAACGGCTCCTGCCACATAAAAGCCAATTAATTATTTTTATGGCTACTCCGGGCCAAGAGCCAGCTCCGCCAACGGAAGCCGACATCGAACAGCGAACGGCCAACGTCTTGGCCCTCGCTTTTCCCTTTAGCCCGGGATAATAAAAAATTATGGCCTGCGATTTGGCTCACTCGCATCGAAGGGAAAGCAACCGAAAAAATAAATACGGGGCGAAGCACAGTGCGCCACTGACCAGGCTAAGGCCCCGCCCCCATAGCTCGCCCCTTGGCCCATCGCAATGCACAGTAAATCGTCGAAAAAAGTGAAGTCCTGCTCCCAGGCAAGGGCCAAAAAGATGGCGCCGTGCTGTGTACAAAATTGATCAGTGGATTCCCTGCCGTTTGAACTATGACGCGATATGTCATCATATTTTCTCGTTGCAGTTGAAGGGCCCGAAGGGGAGTGGCCGGGGGCTGAGGCGGGGTCGGGGTTGGATGCCAGAGGGAGGGCGGTGGCATTCTGGTGCTCCTTGTTTGCCATGCACATTTCCCACTTTGTCAAACCTTTTGTTCACTGCGCAAGGCCGCAGCCAAATTGCATTGCTGCACTGAGAAAAATGTTTAGCAGTTAGATAAAGTGTGAAATATACGTTGGTATCTTTAGTTAGCTTTTAGTTCGAAACTCTTTTAACTTAATTAACTAGCAACTTTATCGCCTTTTCTCTCTGTGCACAATCCCCTTGCTCCGCCTTCCCCTTACCCCTTTCCATTGGTCATCTTGCATTGAGAAGTTGGCCTGAACAGCATTTATTGCCTGGGCTACCGCAAATTCAATTTCGACCCCAACTTTATTTGGCCTTTGTTTTGGATTTTTCGGAGGCGCCTCAAACCGCGAACGGGACTCGTTCAGGGCCAATCCCACTTTCCTTCGTCCATTTTATTGGCCAGGCCAAGAGTCCGAGTAATGGCCGACGCCCCTCTGCCAAAGCTTCTTGCCTCTTGCCTGCCCCTCAATGTCGTTCTGTCCGGTTTCGTTTTCGGATCGGATTCCCCTTGCAACTTCTTTTTCAACGTGGCTTGCCTGGGTGAATCTCGATTTGGCAAGTTTGTGGTTAGTTAAAGGCAAGCTTTGTGGTTGATAAGTGAGTATGCTTCTTGTTGTTGTTAAATGAACTGCTAAAGTAGGGAGAGTGAAAGGAGATTATCTTCTTGATGTTGTACAAGAACTTTATGTAAATTTATTATTATTTATTATTTAATAATCTGGACAGCTCTTGTAAGACTTAGAACAAATAAGTTAACCCTAAGATATGTTTTTATACCTAGACAAACTTCTTATTACTCAATTAACCAATCAAGCTCTTAATAGGAACCACCTTCAACTAATGTTCTGCTGTTTTGAAAATAATACACTTATACTATGAACTCCCAAATGATTTCCCCTCTTAACCATTACGGCTGGCCATTTTCTCCACTGGCCCGGCCAGTTCATTAAAAACTTCATTACCCGAAGAGGCAAACTCGGCAAATCAATTTTGATTTACTTCGAGGAGGAATAGACAGGCAGAACATATATCAATACGCTCGCCCCCATAGCGGCTATCCAGTGGATTTTCCCTTGTTGCCCCCTTCGCCCGGAAAAGCCCTCGCTTGGGGCGGGGGGAGAATCTCTTTTGGGGGGCTGGTGCCAGAGCTGGAAAACGAAACGTTCCATCAGCCGCGAGAGTGTTGATGATGGAAAGTGTCCCACTGTGCTGCCACAAAACAACGGCCAAAATAGGAGAGAAAATAACAAAAACACAGGGCAGGGAGGATGGGAAGAGGGGCCAAACACAATGGCCCATGTAGAATGCCTCAGAATCGAGTGAGCCGCAACAACAATAAACGCTAATAATGCTTAATCAATGTTACACTTTACAACAATAAAGAAGGAGGGAAACAAAGGGCCCAAAGCATCGAGCCCAACTTCATTTGGGCCATGATTTATGGTTTTTTCATTACTGAAAAAAACCTCTTCACACCTGCGGAAAATATGTTGAGGCCAAATGAAATGTAATTGAAATCGCTGGGAATCGCCAGAGAGAGTCCGCCATCTAGTTTCCAAGCTGCTAAATCGATTTTCGATTTTCGATCTTTTCCGAAAGGCAGAAGGAAGGGAATCGAACAAATTGTTGAAAACAATGCGCGGAATTTGTTGCTCACAAATTTGTTATTGCCCTCTCGCTCTCCGACTCATTTGCGCTGCGCA